AATGTAACACATCAACTATAGATCAGATCTATTGCATTTGTCAGATATTGGAGAAAAAATGGGAGTACGATGAGACAGTACATCAGCTATTCATAGACTTCAAGAAAGCCTACAATTCAGTTTGGAGGAGGTATTGTACAATATTCAAATAGAGTTTGGGATGCCCATGAAACTAGTTAGGTTAATCAGAACAGACTGAGCGTGTTTGAGAACAGTGTGTTGAGGAGAATATTTGGAACGAAGAGAGATGATGTGACAGGAGGTTGGAGAAAACTGCATAATGAGGAGCTTCATAACTTGTACTCTTCTCCAAGTATAATTAGAATGATCTAGTCAAGGAGGATGAGGTGGGCAGGCCATGTAGCACGAATGGGGGAGATGATGAATGCGTATAGGATATTGGTGGGAAAGCCAGAAGGAAAGAGACCACAGGGAAGACCAAGGCATAGGTGGGTGGACAATATTAGAATGGATCTTAGAGAGACAGGATGGGATGGTATGAATTGGATAGATCTGGCTCAGGATAGGGACCAGTGGAGGGCTCTTGTGAACACGGTGATGAACCTTCGGGTTCCATAAAATGCTGGGAAATTCTTGAGTGGCTGCAGAATTGGCGGCTCCTCCAGAAGGGCTCAGCTCCATGAGTGAGTGAGTGAGTGAGTGAGTGAGTGAGTGAGTGAGTGAGTGAGTAAGTACGGGTAACAATGTTCTAGGTCCTAGGGTGAGCAGTGAGAATTTTCCCTTTATCCCCACTATTAAAAACAGGTCTTGAGCCCATCAAGACACTTATAATTTATTAGTGAGTGATTATTTTATTTTGGCTGCTTTGAGATTTATATCAAAATGCTGTCAGTATCTCAGATTATGTAGCATAAAATATTAGGATTACTGATGAATAAGTAATTGAAAAATATTTGGAAGAAATTGGTCATAGACTAATTGAGTTACTACCCCAGAATTTGCTGGGAAGGACAAAGAACCTTAATGAGGACAGCCAGGTTCAAACAGAGCACCTTCCGAATATGAACACAGAGTGTTATCAATATGCCAACCCATTCAATGGCATGGGCAAAACCAGTAGTAGTATCATTGTACACCTGATGATAGCCTGATATAAGGGCTGAAACATGTACCGTCAACAGCAAAATAAAACAAATGTTGATACAGTGGTGTCTATTTTGTTTTCCATTACACACATTATACATATATCCTATAATGACGCAGAACAGGATGCATACTATTAAGGAAATACCTTTAGAGTTTAAAGCCAACTTGCATAACTTACCTGCAGCTTCATATTATTACACAGAAATGGGGTATGAAGAGATATATGCCAATTAGTCATATTTTTAAACTTTAAATATACTTCCATTACCTTGCATGTAAGCAGCCTCCGTAGTCTAGAGGTAACGTTCCCACCTCATGACTCGTGGTACGTGGGTTCAAACCCGGCGGAGATCATCGAATTTTTAAGGGCGGAAAAATTCAGGGAACAAGTCCTCCGGGAGGGACTTTAAGCCGTGTGTCCCGTGTCGTAGCTTTACAGCATGTAAAAGAACCTCATATCTCCAAAGGAGGTCACTGAGCCAAATTCAAGGACGTTTCCCGCCCAACAGTAGTCTCTAACACCTCTGATAGATGGGGGAAGCATCGATACACCTCTGAGCCGGTAGAGGCCGACCTCACTGGCTGAGTAGGGACTGACGGTACGCACCAAAATCGGTAGGATATAGAGACTGGTAGAATATCATAGAGGGAAGCACAATGGACCAATACAGGTCTAAATGCATGGGGAAACCCACCCTCTCCAATAACTAACTAACTAACCAACCAACCTTGCATGTATATGTAAGAAATAATATACCACATAAAATTATATACAGAGAAGCTGGAATTAAATTCTGTAATTTATGATCATAACATATGCCAAAAGTTGAACCACCATGTTCCCTTTTGTAGAACAATGGCTTTTAAGACCGGGATATTGAAGATGAGACCCAAACGATATAATAAATTACAAAATATAATTAGGGAAGTGGAAGAAATTAGGCAGTTTGAAAGAGAGCTACAGGGAGATCGAAAAGTCGCGCACATCAAATTAAAGTTGTTATAAATTGTACTGCAGTTAATATAATTATATCTCCTACCACTAGATGGCACTGTAGGAGTACTAACGAGTAGAAACACTATCTGTCATGTATCAGTCATACGACATCTGCAGTATAGCTTTGTTTATTATGTGACAGACATGTTGTTTTCCCAAGAACAAGTTTTCATGCAACTGAAGAGTTTGATCGGGTTTTCTTCACTGACGAAGCGTGGTTTCACCTTAGTGGCTACGTGAACAGTCAAAACAACAGGATTTGGTCATCTGAAAATCCACATGTTACATGAAAAGCCCTTGCACTGTCAGAAAATTGGAGTGTGGTGTGCTGTATCACGTCGTCCAATAGTGGGCCTAATTTTCTTTGAAACAGTGCACAGTCCAGTGTACCAAGGTATCATTACACAGTTTCTTGCACTTCCTGAAGTTGACAAACGTGAGTGTTGGTTGCAGCATGACGGTGCCACATGTCACACATCTAATGAAACCATGCAGTTCTTGCGCGAGTTTTTTGGTGACCATTTCATTTTGAAAGGATTGTGGCCCCTGCATTTGCCCAAGTTGTCACCTGCAGATTTTTTCCTTTAGGGGTACTTCAAAGGAATTGTCTATAAAAACAATTCATGTACACTGGATGACCTCAAGAGGAACAATAGGACGGCGATTAACAGCATCAGTTAACAGGTGCTCCACAAAGTGGCTTCAAACATGGTAAAAAGAACTTGCGCATGCATTTCTGAACAGGGAAGCCATTTTGAGCATATGTTGTAAAGACATGATTTGATTTTGCATTTCTAAGATGTAAGGTTATAAACAATAATAGTAAGTGCTGTATGTCTTGCAGTTTGTGCATTAAACCAGCAAAATATAATTGCTTAGTGTGATATGCACGACTTTTCGATCTCCGTACAGATGAATATATCATTTTAATTAACAGGATGTTCTTTGAGTTGGTTTGTTTTTATGAATTATGTTTGTATTGCTTTGTAGTATGAAGGAATGTTGCCGAAATATTTATGCTAGTTTTAGATCTGTCTGTAGTTTCAACAGAAATGATGAATAAAATTGAATTAAAGAAGAAAGTTGTCTTCTGGGTTTAGGCACCGTGTATTCTTCGTTTTGGCCGACGTTTCGGAGGAACGTAGCGCCTCCATCTTCAGAGCAGTTGAATAGCTGCGGAGAGCAGTAGCTGTGGTGATAGGATGTGGAAAGTGCTGCTTATATACGAAGTAGGTAGGGGGGGTGGTTAGGGAGAACGGACCAATGGGAGCAGTGGAGAGCGATTAAGGCCATATATGGTGTGTGACTAAGGGACAGGGGGAACGGCCAGTGAGTACAGGAAACTTGAGGTCAATAGCACCAGGAAGTGCGGTAGTCAAGAAAAACCAGTAGGTTGAGGACAGGCTATTGACGTCAATGACATGACAAAGAACTGGTGTGGCTAGTAGGATTC